TTCCGGAACGGCTTAAGCAAGCCCACAAAGATCGGCGGGTGGGTGCACATCCATTTCGGGAGGTCTTGCGTATACGCAAGGCCTCGCTTGGACACGGCCTTAAAAAGGTCCGATATTTCTTGGACGGAGAGTCGTCTTGAAAACAACAGAAATTGCATTGGTAGGATGATTTTTAGCATTTCATAAAACCAGGTCTCCGACCTAATTTTTTCACATTCCCTCCACATCCTCTGTCTGCATAATCTTTATGCATTTCTTGGCTTTCAGTCATCGCATAGCAAACGTGTCGTAAGACACTCAGTCTGGTAGACAGGAAGACCCCGATTTCTTTTTGAACAGTGAGAGGGCTGACATCAACTACCCGCTCGGCTATTTCTGCTTCACCAAGCCCTGAACCATGGGATGGCAGTTTTATCGGAACGCAATAATGAACGAACCCGTTCACGTAGAACGGCGTGTAGCCTGTAGACAAATGCACTGCATTGTTCAGAGCAAACTCTTCAAGTGGCTGCACGGCGCTCCAGCGCCTCGGCGTCTTAGCGCAGACGCTGCGAAGGGCGTCCTCGACGACGCGATTTGCGCGCTCAGGTTGACCATCGGTCTGCTGATGGTCCGCTGTTGACATAGTCAGCTTGATGTCCAGCACCTTGAAGATTGTCAACAAAACTTTCCAGTGAATCTTGGGTCCTTGTCAGAAATAGTTGACTCCGGGATTCCATGTTGTCAAAAGACGCTATTTTCAAGCAGCGTCGCTGTACCGACACCGTAAATGGTGTCCGGCATCGCTGCAAGATGAGTCATCTTGATCAAACGATCGACGAAGACCACAACGACCGTGTTGCCCGCCGAGTCCTTTAACAGGTCAAACACAAAGTCTAAACTTTTGGACTGCCAACACCCAGAGGGTACCGGCAAACAGGCCAGCGGCGCTGCTGCATTTCGAGAGGGTTCACTCTTTGACATGTCTCACATGTGCGCACATATGTGCTTGTCTATTTGTACAGCTTGGACCACCAGTAGTGGCAACTCACAAAGCGGTACGTCTTATCACGACCCGAGATGACTACAAAGTGGGGTGTCCTTGACCTCGTAGATGATACGGTGATTCAAATCCACATCGTGAGGAACCACAATTCGTGGCGTATCCGTCAAATCGGCGCTACAGCAATCCATTGTTTAAAGAGTATCGGTGCGGCCGTGTACGCAGATGCGACGACAAATTCTTGTTCGAGTTTTGAAACTCCATGTTCCCGAAAGCCTGTAGCAGCGCTACGCACATAACTTCTCCCGCGTGAGCGGCGTGGGAGAAATCCGTCACGGACGACGTCACCGTCTTGACATAAGAAAGCTCATAATCTGGTCTGCGTGACAACGCATCAGCTAAAGCATTCTGCTTTCCTGGTTCGCCTGGAAGATATATTTGGCGAAGAAGGAGAGCTTCCTGGTCATTCTCTGCGAGAGGTGAGACTGAGTCGCAGTGCGTAGTGTCGCATGATTTATTTAGATCACAAACGGCTGGGAGCCGAGCAGGCGCATTCTGAACTTGGCAAGTGTATGCTTCATCTCAAGTAATTCCTTGTCGTGGACTGAGTAATTTTTCTTCACAGCCTGAGCTGGCGAGATTTGAGTGCGATCACCCGATCTCGACCCTCGGCGTCTGCTTGCAGCAGTGCACAACGATTTGCGAAGTCCAAGGCGTCACAGACGACACTAAATGAACGATCGGGGTCTGGCAGCGCCAGTATTGGCGGATGAAAGAGGCCGTCTTTCACCCCATCAAAGCCTTCCGATGCTCGATGTCCCATCAACATTCCGCATCCTTCTTAAAGAGATTCGTCGATGGCCGTTCCATTTTTGCATACTTCTCGCAGTAGTTGGCGAGGCCAAGCCACTTGCGCAAGTCCTTTTGATTCCTTAGATCCGGCCAGCTCACAGTGGCTTTGACCTTAGCGAGATCCACTCGAAGGCCACGTTTCCCAATGAAGCACCCAAAAAAGGAAATATTTCGGTGTCAAAGATGCACTTATTGGTATTAGCATACAGCTTCTTCGTGCACATGCACTCGAGCACCGCTCTTGAATGAACGATGTGGTTTTCCATATCTGTCCTCCCGTGCCCCGCACGACTGTGGGCGAAGATGTTGTCAAAGTATGTCTGTGCATACGCCCGATGGACCTGAACAACTGCGTCATAAAGCAATCAAACGTTGCTGGTGCATTGACTGCACTTCGGGCATCACTAGCCACTCCCAGAGCATCCCGCTCAGTGTACTCACCGCTGTCAGCGGAATATCACTCGCTTTCATGAGTAATTGATAATAACCATCGACCAAGTCGAGTGCGCTGTACTTTGTACAGCCAACCATATTGCTCTGGAATTGGCGTTTGTGCCAGAATGGTGGTAGCATTTAGCTTGTTGTAAGCGTGAGCGATACGTTACTTGCTGTTCGGTTTCCAAACACAAAACGTAGGTGTCAATGGGAAGATTTGCTCTCACAGACCATTTCGGCGTCGTGATATGCACGGAAGATGCCGTCAATGACGTCACACTACTCCTTGAGCAGGAGCCATTGGCGTGTCGCGCAGTAGTTGGTTCGCGGAACCAGGTCGATCTCATGACGCAAACCTCGGGCCGGAGGTTAGACCGACGGCGGATTTTGGAGACGACATCTTGATATTCCTTCACCAAAGGCTAGTACAGATCCGAGTGATTCTTCTGGATCAAAGATCCACTTCGTGCACTCAGCTCCCTTTTAATGTCTTCCAGGACAGCTTCGCCCAGATGCGAAGACGCGTTGATCTTTTTTTCTGGACGTATAATGATAAGTCGCCTGCCTTCAAGGCACCGCCGAACTCTTCGGAAGACATCTCGTCCAGATCAAGAAGAGCATCCACCTCATATATAGCCTTGAGGACGACGTCGCCGATTTCCTTCCCCGTCATACCGCTGACGAGGGTTTATAGCTGTGCGCTTTCATCTACGGTAGGCAAACCCTTGGTCAGAGCCGACGGCGTCTTGCAGCTAGCATACGCCGTCGCTATCACCTCATCACAGAGGTTGAACGTCTCAGCGAGACCACTTTGGACAAGCACTCAGTGTCGTTCAATATCAGCCCTACCTCCTGCTCCACTGGATCCCTGATGTTATTAACAATATCCGAGAAGAACCGCTAGCTCCGCAGTGGTCGTCCAGTGGATAAAGTGCCACTCTACACGCATCGAGAGAGACTTGCCCAACATGCATTGGTCTCCGTCCGACCATGCCTCTGTGGTATGCAGCGATTGCTCTAAAACATGAGCAGTGATCAGTGCATTATGTGTCACTCCATGTGCATCACTGGGGCCTCGCTCTCGATGCTCCGTTCCTTGGCCAACCATGCCACGCGTGGCATGCAGCGGCTGCTCCGATACTTGAGCAGCGCTCAGTGTGCTACGTGCCACTACACGTTCAGCCCGCGAGTCCAATACACCTTATGTGTTTAGCGACTCGGATACTCCGATTTTCAGCACGTTAGCCGTATCGGTACAGTGCCCGCGTAAAGAGCATTTTTGCCTCCTAGCAGACGTTGGTCCATGACTCAGCAAAGCTCCACCATAAGACGTGCGCGTAGCACTCAAGGTCTTCGAACTCCAGTCGGTTCATGGCTCCTAGTGTTCCAGTCATGATGAGGCCATACCTTAAATCCAAGTCTAAGCCTAAGCAGCGTTCCACGCTATCAAAGTCAAGAAACTTGACACCGAGGTCCACAGGGACCCTAGACACTGTGACACATGACCCGTCGCTAAGTAAACATTGACGATGTCACTCAACCGCACCTTCAGCGCCTCATCATACAGCTGACTTCTTTCCATCGTGGAGCGTCGAGCATTATCGCCTGACGCCCCAGAATCGACCAGGATCTTTCATGTGTTCTCAAAGCCCTATACGGTCACTTCCATGAGCAGCAAGCCCGGCCATACCCGCTCCATGTTCGAGAGCACGGGGATCTTCGTGGCTGGGTCCTGCTGCCCTCTACCTCTGTGAGGCTCAACAGAACTCAGTTCTTCCCGAGTAGGGCGTCGCGCACCTATTGGGTTTGCTGTTTACCAGCGAGGAACCAGAAGACTGGTGAGAAGCGAGACATCGGTGCGATGAACCTTGATGCGCCATGCGCAGGAAACAATGGGTCCGGAGGTGACATGCGTCTCCACAGACAATACATAATCTGGTGTTCGAATGCTGCGCGGGGGCCCGAAGCTTTGCCTCCTCTTTCTCAGCATAACTAAGATCTATTTGCACAGGCCCGCCCGACGAGCCGCAAGGGTGTGCATTCCAACCAAGTCGTGCCGAATCAAAATTAAATTTGGCATCCGATGCCTTTTTTTGGGTGCACTCGGAAGACTTCTATCCTGGCCATGCCGATGCGGAATACCACCACAAAGACGGTCACTGTGACCGCTTCGGTACGAGGATCGGCTGTCATGCCGGCAGTGAGAGTACGCAACTTTGTCTAAGTCCCTCGATTCCTTCGTGCCCTGTCGGGCGGCATGGAAACGCCATATCGCACGCGATATGGCTGGTAAGGCGGCGTGAACACTTGTGATTGCTGCAGCTTCAGTTACATCCAGGAGGGATACGCCGCTTAAACCGAAGTGCCGCACATCAGTGTCCATTCTCGCGCTCGACCACCAAGCTTGGAGATAGCTAGCGCCACGCGCTGTTGCTCGGTATGGAAGCATGGTGGACGCCATGCCTTCTCCACCTTTCTCACCCAGAGCAGAAGATTTTCTTCATCCTTGCCCTCTAAGGTCTTTACTATCATCATGAGCGGCTGGGATCGGGAGAATTTATCCGTCGTCGACAGTGGTGTCATGGACGCATTCGATGCGGTCATCTTCAGCTTGAGGTGCTAAAGCAGAGTATTATCATAATTTAAAAAAGCCTCTAGGCGCGCGCTGATTGCCTCATGTCCTTCTGGAGCGAGGTTTTGCACGCCCTCAGAGCCAAGCAGAGTCATCAGCTTTTTAAGCCCGTCTTGGAAGTCTTGGGGCAAATAAGAGAGCTGCTCCATCCTCACAGAAGGCCAGTCGTAACATAAATTGACGACAAGTGCTACCGAGTGCAGCGGGGCTGCCGTGGTATTTCGATTAGCGGAAGCTTGGTTAAGTTGGTGACTTCATTTTACACTTAGAACCAATACGAGTGTAGCGGATCGCAATCAAGTTGGTCCAAGAAGAGTAATTTCAACCTTGACCCAATTAACTCTTATGTTAAAACATGTAAGCTGTAATTATTTGTTTAATTTGCAGCAAAGCCCCCTATACCTAAATCTATAGGTGTTTCTATCTATATAGCAAAACCAATTTAAATGTATAACTACTGGCTGTCCAGCCACGAGCTGACTTCTTGTTTAAGTGTTGCCACACCATTGTGTGATTGTCCAACACACGCTATTGCGTGATGTCACCATTTCGTGTAACCAACACCCTTCATAATAGGGCACGTGAAACCCCGTTACAATATAATCGGGAAGAGCCATTGTCCTAAGCATCAATTTTGGATCCAAGAGCTAGGTCAAACTCATTATGCATTATTAATTCTGGCATAACAGATGTGATGGTCTCTCGCACTTGTCCATCAGAAGTATCTGTAGATTCCGATAGTTTTGATGTAGATTTTCCACATCTTGCACTCGGTGCGCTAGAAGTGCCCGTAAATTGAATCGATGATATACATTAACGGAACACATCGACACTACGTTTACAAGAAATAGTACTTCTCGCTACAAAGCTGTGAAACTTGTTTTCTTGCAAGGTGGGGCGTCACCCGATATTGCTGACTTGCGATATCATGGCAAATTGTACTATTCGAGCCTAGCCTGACTTCCCTGCTCTTCTCATGCGCCGATAACTGCAAATATTTGCTACTGAGATTGCGGCACCTATTACAGTTGTATCTCCTGGATTAAACCTTGGAGACCTCGGAATACAGTCGATTTCCAACGCTCCACAAAAACATCTCAGCTTAGGAACGTCCCAGCTATGGAACGGTTTCATTGCCTCGTAAAAGAAATCGCGACTTACGGTCGCTGCTATTTGTCTCGTATATAAGAACTCGGCTCATAACCATTTGTGTCTTTCGAGCTGTGTTCAGGATCTAAGCAATCTCCTCTAAATAATTCGGTTTATCCATGTCCTGCTCTAAAAACCGCGTAGCTTCTTGCCCGCACCAAAAACTGTTGCTTTCTGGAAAAGATAAGCCCATGACTTGCCGCAATTTCAAATGGGGTAAAGAGCATAACACCCAATGTTCAAACAATAAAACAATGTATGGATCATGTCGCTCCGGCAGGACAAGATTCTGTCTCCAAATTAGGGATAAGCCCTATCACTTTTCACGAGGTAAAGTCTTCAGAGCTTGCAAATATGATCAAAAGATTATTTTTCCGAGTCCCGGACGCAGGACGCTAGGATTGTATTCGAAATCATTAAATTACATCAACTACATTCCCATTACATACAAAATCGAACGACGCTCCAAAGAAGACAGATTTCTACAGCTTGTCAAGGCCGGGGCGTTGATATTACCATTATAATGACTTGGTAGCTTTCAGAGTGAGACTCACTACTAAGGACGTGCTCAAAATGCGCTTAACCTCAACGAGGTATAATGCTCAGTTTTTTTCGAGAAGTTATGATTTGCGTTATGATATTCAGCGTTTCCCCACGAGGAGTTCATCTGCTGATCTTGCGTGAGGCCCGACCCTCCATGTCCCTTAATCGGGGAAAGGAGGTAACACTTAACAAAAAAATCTGTGTAATTCTGCAGCAACCAACGTTTCTGATAACCGGCTGAGATTCATCGCCTACGACATTTCGTAGAGAATTAACAATGATCTTGTATTGTTCATGGGACTTCTAGCTGCCGAAATTTAGTCGACCCAACATATACATAGCATTCAATACGACAACTATTACTTCATCAAAATACGCAAAATGGTTTGGTGCTAGTCACATTTGTACATAGATCCTCAGTAAGGAAGGTCAAGTTCGCCGCCATTCGGACAGTCAGAACCCTTAATCCCTAATATCCTCCTCTAACTACTTCTCCTCTGACGGTTGGACAATATTTTAAATCGAATGCTGTACGCCTGGTACTCGCAATATCACGACAATGTCTCTTTTGTAGATGCGGCACGTAATCGCTCATTCCCTCTCTCAGCCTCCTCTGCGAGCGTGGCTCGCCAATGCTCCACTGGGAGAGAATCTATTCATACCTGCTCCTACAGCTTCGCGGTAATCTTTGCGAATTAAACTTATAAGTGCGTTACACCAGTTTTATAAACTATCGAAAAGAAATTATGGATCTAATGTACCATGCACCATACAGCTCCTTAATTCTGCAAAATACAATATTAAGCAGATTAGTCTTGACCGCTTCGTAAATAGCAACTGAGATAGTGAATGATTATTATAGCACTAGAAATAATACTAATTGCACAGCAAAAACTTAGGAGCTAATTTAATGCCACTAATCAGACTGGACATATGCGAATGTTCACGGAGAGTTCCTTTAAACGGCTCTATATTCGTCAGCATTTTCTGACTGATTTCGGTGGTAAAAACGTGTATCTAATATCTGACTCCTACATGCGACTGTCAGCAATTGGCTCGTCTGTAATCTTAGATTTTATTCTACAATCTTACTTAACTACAATTTGACATGTCATTACCTCGAATTCAATAACTGTTGCTGCTGCTGTTGTAGCGGCTGTGGCTGGCTCGAAACGGGATGATGATTTGGCATTATTTGCTCCATGAGCAACATTTCAGGCCGCTTTGATGAAGTCATAGGCGCTACGGTAGGGCAGGTACTAGAACGCGGAGACTGTACTATGCAAGTGCGTCCAGACGCAAGTCGTGAGGAATCATCTGGTCGCGAATTGCTTGGTATTCGTATAGCAGCACCGCCGGAAGATGAACGTAGCAAACTTACGCGCGACGCCTCTGGAGGAGACGAATCGCTTAGACCAGCAGAGAACATTCCCATCGATACGGGAAGACCAAGGCTTTTGCAACCAAGAGGGGATTGAATACTAGAAGCAGCAAGAGATACTGATGCAGCGATAGGTTTTGCCACAGTGGGAGGATACGGAACCGCCTCCAGCAAGCGTTTTGTTAGCTGAACAGACGACAGGTCTTTATTTACCAGGTAAACAAACTTGAGGTCTTGAAAGCGCTCCGACGTTGGATATATTAGCGAGCGCAGTACATGTGCCGAGTCCCGCGTTAGCATCCCTTCTTCTTCTAATCGACAAAAGCGGAGGTACATCTCTTTACGGATGCTAAAATGCAAATCCACAAAAGAGTTCATTTGTATTCGATCGCGGGTTTGTTGTAACGGGCTCGTTTCCACAGTAGCAGAGTGATGGGAGAGTCCACCAGCAGCCACAGAACATCCAGGTAATGCTACAGCGTTGGATGTGTTAACTAATTCATCCATTCTTGCACGCTTGTGTACACCAGCGGCACTTGCACGACTTACTGAATGACGCTTTTCGCCCTTGAACTTGACTATAGAACCACCCTCGTCGATCTCTTGCGAAGCTACTTCACGCAGTATGTCGAATGCGCTGAGACCACGGCAACTCGTGGCACCACCCTGTGACTGCTTTGTCTTTCGGCTCATTCGCGTCTTTGTTGGTTTTGTTAAAGCAATTGATACCTCCTTTTTCATCGCCTGTACGGAGCTAAGATCCAGCACAGAGGAAGAACACAATGGAGATTGTCCATTTTTGTGCTCCATTTTCACGAAAACCTGAAAGTTGGAAGTTGCTAATGACGGCGTTGACGACGACGTGGGTGAGGTTTGACTTCCAGTTGGGTTGAGCATTGGCAAAGACAACAATGATGGTTTAAAATCTTTCTCTGGAGTTCCATCTGCTGGCGGACTGTTAAGTAACGACATGACAGTGTTGCACGATGAATAGCGATTCAAATAATGGGCACCCGACTCGTTTTTTACCGTCTTCTTCTTATCATTATTGTCGTCGCCCATGGCAGAAACGTTACCAGCACCAATTTTAGCCGATACAGACTTTGAAGGGGAGCTATGCGCCTCGGTTGCCACTTTAATTGTGTGTTCTGGGGATGCATGCATCAGTGCCATAATATTTTCACGTGCGATAGCATTCGAAGCTACAGAAGGAGTTGTGGTCTGCTTCCCTTTGTTCTCATTATTCCTCTCGAATATCTCTGTAAAGATCTTTGACGGAGACAGTTTCTCTCGCTTCGAATCATGGAGAGGATCTTCAGTATCAGAAACAATTGTAATGCTCATGCTATCGCTGTGTAAGTCCTTCACGGAGCATCCAGCACCTTCCGACAATTTCCTTCTTTTTCGCAAATGATTAGCCGTCTTGACGTCCTCTTCAATGTCTTCATTTGCTTCGATGCCCACTGATGTAATATCTCTCTCTTGCGGGGATAAATGTTTCTTTGAAACCTTGGCGTTTGAATTACTGAGTGAGACAAACGCCGATTTGGCTTTCGTAACACATCGATTACCATTGTGGAATGCTCGCGCGTCGTCAATACATCGTGGACACACGTACGTTGAGTCTTTCCATCGTCCTGAGCTTTTTATAGGCGGTAAGCAGCCAATATGGAACCATTGGTTACAGCAATCACACGCAAGACTCTCGTTAATGTGCTCGTCATCCATTGCATACCAATCATCAAACGATTTGCTCCACCGCGTAAAATGAATCTTAATGCGCTCTCCGCAGGTATCCACCTCAGTAATAAGTGCGTTGTACAGCACTTCGTCATTGTCCACCAAGACAGCTTGGTTTACTTTAAACCCAGTTGTAATCTTTTGGTCGTCGACGTCCTTGCCAGCCATTGAAAAAGGCAGTCGACAGCTGCCGCAGCGAGAGCCCACATCGTCGTCAATTCCCTTTCGCTTGGTCTCTTCCTCGTCAGTCGTGTGATCATCACTCTGCTCAGCTTCGCATTTATGACAACAAAAACCGTTTGGACTGCTCACATCTTCGTTATGCAGCTTGGCACACTTAGCATGAAATCCCTTCCCACACCACTCACAAAAATGATCGCAACCAGGATGTGTACACTCTACGCAAGGTCGTTGGGAACGTCGAAAAGCGACAAACTCGCAGATCTGACAATTTGTAGAAACCATATTTCTCTTACTTACAGGCCAAGACTTAGCTATGCCCTCCAACAACAAACTATTGCCACATTGTTCGCAATCGCGATGACCAGGCGTAGATGCACTTCCTGTAGACGAAGTGGCCGAAAGCGCTGGACTACTGCCACCTGCACCCAGTCCAGATTTCTTACGACGCTTTTGCTGCGCTGTTTTAGTCGCTTTTCCCTTAAAAGTTCTCCCCATGCAGAGTGATGGTCTCGTTCCTGGCGCACGCGTTTTGGAAGTGGAGTCGAGGGAGATCCTCTCCCAAAATTTACCGGTAAAATTGTCCTTCTTATGAAAGGCACTAGACCTTCGTGCAACCTGAACACCCGGCTTTGACATTCCCGAGCTGCGACATCTACATGGAATACCATCGATGAATTATACTGTACATGTGATACTCAATATTTGTAAAGAAATCAGTAGTTTTTTTACAAAGAGGCGCTAGGGAAAAAAATACTATTAGATAATATGGGTACTCTCAGAAAGTAATAGTAATACGAAAAAAGCACCTTTGCAAACAGAAAATTACAATTTTGTTTTTCACAAATTTATTGCAAAAGGTGATACAAATATAAAATACTCCGGAGTATTCGCGAGATGTGTTTTAAACACTAAAAATACGAGATGGTAAAATTACCGAGTGTAGCCATTCACCGTTACATTGAAGACGTGTGCCATGGAGATGGAGGAACTCAAGCAG